TACAAGTACGGCCACATCTATGCCACACTCTACGGCCTCACGGTTATCAATTACATACCGCAGCGTCCGACAAACACGTGCACCCACCGACTAGCCGTAATTTACGGCCACACGATCAGCGTCTTGCTCATCGTCGTGCTGCCCATCTACTTTGCGCGCAACATCTCTGCACTAACCGAAGCGCACGACCAACGCGGCCAACTGTTGCTGCTCGTCAACTTCGCCAATACGCTGCTTAAGTATGTAACCGTTGTCGTGACATATGTCGCAAATTTTGCACACTACGCGGCCATACGCGCCGTCACCAGGAGGCGCCAGCAGCTCGAAGACGACTTCAACAGCAGCCTGCAGGTGCAACCGGTATACGATGAGCGACCGCGCCGCCAATTCGAGACTATGCTGCTGTTCAAGTTCGGCCTCATCAACGCCATGATGGCCGTGCAGGTGGCAAACATACTCTACCAGCATTGCACCGGCGCCCATCCGGTGCGCGTGTATATCGCCGTGTATACCTTTGTGCTGTGGAACTACACCGAGAACATGGCTGACTATTTCTACTTCATCAACAGCAGTGCAATGAAATTCTACCAGCAACTCAATCAACAGCTGCGGCAAGTGGTGCGCGAAGCGAAGCTCCTGCATTACTTTCGGATGCGCGGTCAGCGACGCGGCACTGTGCCGCATCTGTGCGGGTTGCTGTGCGAGCGGCTAGATACGCTGGCCCAGCGCTACCAGCAAATAAATCGACTCTGCCAAGACAGCTTGACAATGCATCAGTTTCAGATACTCGGTCTCATCTTTATTACGCTCGTCAGTAATCTCACCAACTCGTTCATCCTATTCAATCTGTTCGTGAAGCACTCACAGGCGCGCGCTTCGCCAGCCATCGTGCTGAATGCGCTGCATGCCATCATCTTCTACGTGGACACCTACATTGTGGCGCTGGTAAGTGAGAACATCAGCCTGGAATTGCGCAACATTAATCAGACGCTGCGTCAATTCAATCAGGTGAGCGAGCTGGATGTGCGTCTACAGCAGACGGTGAGTGTGTGTGGGTGTATGATACGCAGTTGATGTGCATTTATTTATTTGTTTATTTATTTTGGAAAGCAGATCGAGTGCTTCACACTTTTTGTGACGAACAATCATGTGGAGGTTCGCATCTGTGGCCTATTTGTGCTGGACAGGAGCCTGACGTATCTGACGGCAGCCACAGCATTATCATATTTCATTACACTGGTGCAATTTGATTTGAACTTGATGTAGGCGACGCATAAAATCGATATAAAATTTAAACTCTTCAAGAACTCAAATAAATAAAGTAGCCGTATACTTAAACGGTTTTTTAGTAAACTTTTCCATGCGGGAGTGTGGTATTGGATCCCAAAAATATGTATTATTATTAGTCAACCGACTTCAAAAAAAGGAGAAGGTTATCAATTCGTCGAAATATATTTTTTTTTATGTATGTTACCGCATAACTTTGGACCACGAGAACCGACTTCGATAGTTCTTTTTTTATCGAAAGGGGGGTACCTCAAGGGTGATCTCGTACTAATTTCGCTTACATCCGATCGTTGGAGCGCGAAAAAAATAACGGTTCTCTTAAATTTTTTTATGAGAATTGAAGTCGGTTTTGTTTTTTGCTCCTGCAGTCAATCGCAACACGAGCCAGACGATATATGAAGATGAAGAGAGGGAAAGCGGAAGTAAAGAGTTTGAAATGCTAGTTCCCAAAGATACGAGGATAGAAATAGAGGTCCAGAGTACATTTAAATTATACAGGGCGTACATTTAATGAAATTGATTGGCGACACAAATAGCATAAATTCCTTTTTTCAGACATTGTTAAGGGCAACCTAAAACGACATTTCTATTGAGCAAAACACTTTTGCGCTAAAATATTTGTTAAATAAGCATAAGACAAAAAGGCATTTCAGATTCCTTGCTTTGAAAGAATTCCCCTCACCTTGCATTTAATGAATTATGAAATTACACAAACACAGTAGATTTCGCAAGGCCGCTGTCTCCTACCGCTAAGCAAAAAGCTTATGAACTTGGCAACACAACAGAGAACAAGTAAATTAAATTTCTAGAGGATAAGAACTAAAACCAAAATAATCACAAACGTAAACGGTTTAAGTGAGCTAATTAAAGTTGCTGTTTGTGGTGTAATTGAAAAATGGAAATTGAAAATGTGACTTGGTGCAGAATAACAAACGAAGTCTAGCTATTTCCATTTGTTGCAACAAATAAAGTAATGGAATTCGGATAGGTTTGCTTCGGTACAAATTTTTTTATTCAGAGATGTGTATATCCAGAGTTCGCGCCCATCATTGCCATTTTGTTCGACACTCATACTTACATCTTTAATAAATGAGGATAAGAGTGTCACGGAACATATGGAAGACATATGGGGATCCAGCCAGTTCAGTTTCGACGAATGCCGCTAAGTTAACTAGTGGTAGCGAATTGTTGTCACTCTTCGCTAGAATTTCTAAGCTTTCATTGTTGAGCTCTTCGACGTGCCATCTCCGTATCGACCACTTTCCAATTATGTATAAAACTCTTGGATTTTCGGTGAGCCCAATGGTGTGACCGGTGGTGCTATCTAGGTCTTCAAAAAATATCAGACGAGGTCCGTGGAAGGCTTTGGTATCCTTATCCGTTCATTTCGAAGTTATTGACTTTTTCCAACGAATTCACCTACACCAAATCCCACTTTTTTACCGCTGCTGTTCGATAAGGGCGAGCTTGATTATAATGTTGGTGGTGTGCCTTCTTTTTGAGCTTGGAAACCTTGGTGCTGGTGTAGCTTTAATTGAGTAGTTTTTCACGATTGCCCGCCTTTTTTGACAGGCACAAAACTCCTGGTTTAGGAGTTTATAGTTTGACACTTTTCATTTAGTATATGAATTATTATGAAGAGCCCCAAATAGGGTGATCATCGGCACGGGTAGTATGACTTTTTTTTAGGAAACAAACATTTAGGCACAGTTTGTACATTTTGCCAGTATGACAACTTGATGCAGCCCGAAAGTTTAAACAGATAGATGAGTTTTATTTGTCGGTTTGATGGACGGCAACTTTAGATTGCGGAGAGTTCGTCTCCCGAATTGCCAATATAAGCCTTACTAGGCAGTCGTACGTTAATTATTGAGTATTTCATTAAACCGCAGAGCACGCCCACGAACTTTTTACAAGTCGATATGCCGAGCATTAATCATTTTAATTTGCTGCCTTTCACAAATAAGAAATTATTTGCGCTATGTATTATTGAATTCAATTATCATTGAACCATTTTAAGCTTTTACACAGTCAATCAGTTAAGCTCAACGCATTTCAAGTTTATTAAATTGCTATCCCAATAGTAAACAAATGCTTGTTGTCCCTCGCAGTCACGCAACAGTCGATACGCAACAACCGAGCTTGTAACACGAACTGCACAATCGCGAACACGCAAGTCGGCTCAGCTATACATGGCATCAATGCCCTCGTCGCCGGCATCAACAACAACAACATGCACATCTGCGGCGCGTCGCTGGCAGCTTTACACTTACTACTACTCTCTCGCCATCGGCGTTGTCGCCATTCGCTTTGATTTCGCACAGCGGCGCTTCCAACGCTCGCTGCCAATGCAAATCTACGCGTTCACTCTGAACGCCCTTATTGTTGCCACTATGCCGCTAACCTACATGCAAAGCTTGGCGTTCTTAGAGGCGCTCAGTGTAAATCGCTTGATGTTCATCGTAAACGCCGTCAATTTAACACAGCTGAACGTGCTCACAGCGCTTACCATAATTTTGCGATGGAAGCGCGAAGGCGGAATTCTCGAAATGCTCACGCAGCTGCTGGACTTGGAGTGCGAGTACTTTGAGGTGAGTGTGCCAGCGTCGCTGAAGCGAAATTGCGCGCAATCGTTTGGCAAGGCTCTACTATGGACAAAATATTGCAGCGTGGTCGTCCAGACGTGCCACCACATTTATTCTTTTTTTGCTTTTACGCCGTCGTTCGATTCATTAGCGTGGCTGTACTGCGCCCAAACGATCTGCGTAAATGGTGTCCTCTTGCATACGGTGTTGCACTACTTTCTGACTATGTGGTACGTGTGGGAGCGCTTTTGCTGGCTGAATGCGCAACTGCGGCGCATCTTCAATCTGCTTCTACTGTTGGCGGCTAAAGAGCATCATTACACACCTGGGTTGCGGCAGCGCCTGCAGCGTCGCCTAGCGCAGGAGCTCTTAGACGTGGCGCGCGTACATCGCCGACTCACTGTACTGGTAGAGCGTTTCACCAACTGTTATCACCTGCAAATTCTTACTGCACTAATTAGCAAGGTTATCAATAATATTTCCATCGGTTACTTGAGTTTTAAGTATGGGAACAACCCGAATTTAGAAGAATTTAACGCTTTGGACCTAATCATCAGCACGGTGGGATTTATATTTATTATTTCGGACTCATTTCTCTTGGATACACTGTGCGATCGGTTGGTCAATGCAACACGTGAAACGGCAGAGATGCTGAAGCGTTTCGATGAGCTGCCCGAAATGGACGACGCAGTGGAGAACGCTGTATGTACGACTGCCAAAAAGGAATTTAAAATTAATATTAACTTCGAACTATTTGCAGTGTTTCTTGCTCTCCCAGCAATTGCGGCAACACCAGCTGAGGATTAGCATTCTTGGCATGATTGACATAAATAAGCGGCTCTCCTTCTTGGTTTTCGGCGGACTAGTGAAGAATATTTTGTTGCTGCTGCAGTGGGATATTGGAAAGCAATTCGATGAAAAATAGGAACTGAAGTATTGCAAGATAAAAATTGAATTTCGTAATAAAGGAACTACCCTTAACGAGCCCCATGCATTTTTTATTTGTACACCTTTCATGTACTTCCAGTGCCATTAAGATTATCGCATGCAGATATCAGCGCCACATTATATGTACAGTGCCGGTCAAAAATGGATAAATGGTGTTTTTCAAGCTAAAATTTTTTTGATATTTTTTTTATAAAAATATGGTTCATGCTTTAACAAAAACTTTATAAATCACGCTTTCAAACTTTATACAGAACTTAGAAAAATTCCACAAATTTGTATCTAAATTTCGAGCTTTTTAACCCGAATTTTTAGAAATTTTTCGGATATGCAGTTAAGAAGGTATATAAATACGTGCAAGTTTGAGCGGCTAAAAAATCGGATCGATTTTTAATAATTTTTTTTGTTTTTTCTTTTTTTGTTTTGCACTTTTTTCCATATAAACATGAATTTCTTGTGGATGAATATGCGCAAGACCGTTTGCGAAACAAATAAAAAGTCAACGCCAGTTTTCCTAAATTTCGCTAAAAAGCTTGAAAAACATTGTAAATATTAAAAACGAAACACCACTGTACATGTTTGTATATCAATAGCAGCGTCCGCTCATTACTTAACTAATTACTCACGTCACATATTATGTGTTTACTATTTATTAAGTACTATAATCATGTTTGCAAATTCAGTCTTTGCTTAGCACCTTGCGGGAATGCACCACATCACTTATTGGATAATCCACGGTCACTACTACTACGCACGCGCTGTAGGCGTACTACGTTTCCGTTACCACCAACCGCGCGCACACCACAACTTTCGACACCGTTTACAGTGTGGCTGTGAATGTGTTGACATTTGCCTTGCTGCCTTGGATTTTTTGTACCTCCTTTTGGGTTTTGCTACAGCACGAGCGCACAAATCTATTACTGGCGGTAGTACTCACAATCATCTATAACTGGCAGAGACGCGCCGATATTTTGGCAGTTATACGCGATTTCAATTACTTGCGTTCGCATTACTTTTCACGTTTCACGTTGCCAGCTCAGTTTTGTTGGATATCATCTCCAATAATCACAGCCCCAGGCGCTCGGCTACACCGGCCACCGAGATATGGAAAGTAAAAACTACATATAATGAAAATTTGTATGTCAACGGGAAACAGTGCCTTCCAAAAGTAATCACACTTTTCAACTAGTTTTCTTTTTCCGATTAAGCCCCTTTTTCTTTTGGCTAGGTACATACGCAAACGTATGTATGTATGCATACATAGGTTACACATATCGCACACCGTCTTCAAAAGAGTCACACTCAAAATTTGGCATTTTTGAGATTATGCGCTAAAAATATACACAGCGCTTTTATTTACCTTTCAGCAAAAGCTGGAACAATACTTTTTTTATAATTTGTTAGCAAAAGCCTAAGGTAAAGTCGCCCTTGCCCATATGATTATCATTTGCTAAGAAATTGTTTTTCGCATTTTCTGACAAACGTATTATTTTGAGTTGTGACTCTTTTAAAGACGGCATGCGATATGTGTGCGCGCACTGATGCAAGACAGCGGCCGTGTCCTTTTTCTCCACCTGCTTCTATTTCATTTAATTTCCAGCATGTGTACACTCCTTTGATGAATGGCTTGTGCGCGCTAGTTGCCAGAGAAAAAATCCGTACATTCGCCATCCTTTGCCCGGCGCACACTTTGTCAGCCGTTATCTGCAACGCATTCCCAGTGACGTTTTTAAAAACACCTCATCTGCTGGAGGCTTCCGCAGAGGACTTTGCGTGAGAATTTAAGTAGCATACATATCTGTGCCATTCGATTAAAGTAACCTAAGTCGGTATAGGCCGTTTCCCCTTTAAAGCAACATTTCATTGGTTTACGAAACAATATAATAAATAATAAATAATATAAAAATGTTCAACTTAACTTATTGTTTTTTTTTTTTATTCAAAGTCAAACCTTCTAAAGTTACTTAAGCTACTTTAATTGAATGGCACAGATATGTACATATGCTTGTATCAAGCATGGCGGTGTAATTTGAAATATTCCGAAGCACACAGAGAAAAATATTACTTGTAAGTGTATAACTACAAATAACTCCTAGACGAAGAATTTGCTTTCAAAAGTAAGAGCCTGTTTACACGATAGCTTTTCACCTTGCATTTTTGGCACATTCTCTTTTGAAAAAGTCTATGAAAATCTGATAAAAAGAATTGATGCCTAACTTCATATAGCAAATTATAAACATTAATACACAGAAAAGTGTCTGTATGATGACCGTCGCACAGTGGGGCCGCATTTCAATTTAAGGCGCCGTTGAATATTTGACTATGAAATTACGCGCATAAGTTTAGAATTATAACGTATGTTCACTTCCTACATATCTCCCATACAAACCTAAACTTAAACACGACTTATAAATTCCATAAAAAGCACACAAAAATAATTTTCTGATCAGGGGGCCATTTTATGTGAAGTGGTGTAAATTGTTTTAACTGCACGTTTTCACAGAACAGAAATTGGCCCCCAGGTTTTGAAATATTAGAGTAAGAAGAAACAATCACTTCTTGTTGTTACATACATAGCACTTCATAGCACTTACTTCATCCATTTTTTATCTCTTATCGCGATCACAGCACTCGTCAAGGAATTTCCTTGGACAACCAAATCTAGATCTGGTAGAAGGTTGGCACTCATCATTACTAAAGTCAGCATTAAAAGTTCCTGTGGCTACGCACCACAACCGAATCGCGACTACGTACGTCTATAATCCAACAAATATCGTTTAAATTTGATAACCTTTCCTTTTTGTGAAGTCGGTAAATTAGACATGGTGCAAATTTTACTTGTTTCCTCTAAATCTGCAGTGTGCGCGGTAGACGAATTAAAAAGAGAGCTGGCAACCAACATTCAGCAAGTCCTACACCCAGAAAAGTCAGCTAAATATTTTTCTATCAACACATTATTTGGTTATTGTTACCATAGAGAAATATTTTTAGCTGACTTTTTTCTGCGTGTAGATTTACGATTTCTTTCTTGATTTAGGAAGACTGCTTTTTTTTCAAAAAAAAAAACTCAAATATATTTATTGATATCTTCCTTTTTTAGTTCCACTTTATTATATAAGTTTTCTCTGTGTTCTTCTGATTGAAAAATTACATTTTAGTATACCGGGTTAAGAATTCTTCACTGCAATATGAAATAAAATGAGACCCTTGAAGCCGTTAGAGACTTTCAAACTTGTTGTTGTGCAAGGATAGCAAGATAAAAATAGCTGTTGCTGCCTGCATAAATATTTAAGTTACGAAAAGTCTACCAAGTGCATCATTAAAACAAAATTTGTATCATCAATTTTAATAACACTTAATCTTCCTTAAGACTGCGCACACACACTCGCACTAGAGAAGAGAGCTTGCAAGCCACTTACTTTGTATATGTACATATACACTAATCTCAAATCCATCAGTCTCAACAAATAAATCAATTACGTATTCATGCACACCCGAATGTACATATGTATGTATGTATGTATGTGCAAACATAACTAACTGAAGACTAAATTTCTTTTTACTCAAACCGGATAATGCTTCTCAAAGTGAAGATTATGACGAGTATTTCTTATTCAGAACTTGATCTTTAAAATGTTTTAAATAAAACCTCAAAAAGATCGCAATAAAAGTAATTTTAAAAGTACTACTTGACCCAAATATTGGATGTAGGTACTCGAAAGATCCGCATTAAAGAAATATACATACACACATATGTCATATTATGTAATTATCCACGTTGCAATTTCTTTATCTTTAAATGAGACACCTCACAGAAACAAAAGTTTTAGCTGACATTACCTAAATGGATATGAAAGGATATACTACGGCATCATTTTCGGCCAAGTGTGGAGGCATTTGGGCACAAACAATTATTGTTGTATTGCGATTTACTTGGCGCCGCTTCTTCAAAGCTTTGCGGTAATTATGAGGAATTAATTTCGTGAAGAAAATTAAAATTCTAACTGCTCAAAAGAATTTCGCTGATTAAGGTCCGATGAGTGTCTAAGCAAATGGGTTGATTTGCTCGCGAAGCATTTTCGTTTATTTTTCCATTCTCTCAACCGTTCATACTCCTTTACTGGCAGGAATAAATAGATGCATAAGTGTGAATTACTGTAACAAGCTCACAAGCAGCTCGAGTACCCTCAGCGGGTGCACACACTTTGAAGCAGAATTCCTAATTGACCCTTGAAACGATTTACCTTGCTCGTTAAGAGTAATTGTTCGAGTAGGTATAAATTATAAGTAAATAATCACCAACATGCCAACCTATAAACACTTGAATGTACAAGGATCTGAGCTGTTATAAGCATTTAAGACTCTTGTAAACATTACAAATGTGAAATATGACAAAAGTTGTTTCGAAACAAAATGGCCATGTCCGCAAATGAAATGAAATTGAGACTGTCAGGCAAGGACTTAACACACATGTATATATCTATGCAGACATACTACAGTACATGTATACATACATACATACATACATATGTATGCTTGCTGATTCGGGTGGTTCGAAAATACACAGGAAAATCGACATTTTGGAATTTTCCTGCTGTCACCCACCAGAATAATGGAAACAAGGCGAATTAATATAAGGTGATAGCAGGAGTACAAAAACAAAAATTTACATGTATTTTGTTTTTGCTTTGGCGGCATAAACTGTCAAAATCTGTAAGAGTATGGTAGAAATTCAAACAAAATTTTTCAATTTGATATCGGAAGCCGTGCGGCGAAACACATACACAAAATCAGCTGAGCTAGTAACACCACCTTATATAAATTCGCCTTGAATGGAAAATTTAAAATCAGAAAACGCTTTTTTTTTTGAAATCGTTTAATACGGGGGTGGCCCCAGAAGTACCCGACCTAACAAAGAAAACACAAAAATTTTGGGAAAAAATATATTTATTTTTTAATTTCATCAAAAAAATTTACTTTTAACGATTTCACAGCTATTCTAAGAAAAAATCTACATTTTTCCCCATATAAAATGCATGGAAAAGACCATTAAATGTTGACCAATTAAAAAAAAAGAAAAACGGGTCTTCTTATTTTCGATATTCGTCTTCTGGGGGAAAAAAATTACCACTCTAATGTGTGTATAGATACCTATGTGTGTACAATAGATAATCGGTTATATCTGCAGGGAATGCTTTGAGATAATTTTCCTTGGGAAGAAAGCAACAGCACTATCAGCAACGCTGTATATACAATACATACATACATACATACATACATACATAAGTGTGTGTAATGCACACTGTGTACAACATATCCATCCATTCATATGTGTATGGCAATTACTTAAATTACGGTCATCATTTCCAAATTCTGTCACTGAGTAGAATCAGTACTTCAACTTAATGACCAATGGCAGTCAAGATCATTTAATTAATGATCGTAAAAAAAAAAAACAATAAGTTGAAGCAATAAAAATACAAATGCGGGTAACATTGAAGTTGTCTAGCCAAAAGCCACGAAAGTCCTTTAATCCCTTGTCTTTCAAAGCATGCGAATAGATACGTATGTATGTATGTATATTAGATCTGATCAGCCCCCACCGAAAGAAAACATTTTATAATTATCGGCCTAGTTTGATAACTTACTTTGAGAGGAGCATGGTATTGTGAAAATTCCCCTTTTACCATGCGCAAAAAAAGCCAACTTCTTATATTCTCCATAACAATGGAAAAGCATATATAAATGTATCTTTTGTCAATTTAATAGAAGTACAGCCAATTTCACGAAAGCAAGTTAAGTGCAAAATGATTTTAATTTTTTGAATTCTACATGGAAATTGACAAAAAAAAATCATTTTCCATTTAAATTGCTGGTAAAACCCGTCATTAAATAGTACGGCAGAAATTGAGATAATTGAGTTTACTCATCGAAGGAAGTCATTTAGAGCAGTGTGGTCAAAACTCCAGTTTTAGCTGCTTTTAACGTATGGCTAGGGCGGAAATTTTTATTAAGCCACAATTCTCGCGAATTAAGCTTTCCAACTAAAAGGATTGTTACAAACTTTTTCCCGACCCAACCTAATTTTCATACAAATATTCACATATATGCATGTATGTGTACATACATACGTATGCTAGTATTTAGCAGATTAAAAGGTAGATGAACGCACGGATTATAGCAAAAGTTTAGTCAACGAACTTTGTGACAAAACTTTTAGAAATGTTCATAGATAAGAAACTAGCAAAAGGGCGAAACTAATAGCAAAATAAACAAACGCTTATAAACTTCTGCATGGCATTGTTATAGGCAGACCGATATTTGAAGCGGTAGTTTTAAGGTTTTGCAAACCAGGAAAATATTTTAATTATTCTTAAGTGAAGTCATGCCAGAAAGTCTGCTCCTATTTACAATTTATGAATTTTAAGTTGCAATAAAATATATTTGAATCAAACCCGTGAAAAATTATGAATTTTATTAATTAACCAAGGAACTTTAGAAGAGCTTCGGTAACGAACCTTCTACTTACTGAAGGCACTTGTGGAAGCCCTTTATTCCCAAGATATTTTCATTTTGTTTGAATTTCGAATAGAAAAAATGTTGCTCATACGCCATGTAGGAGTAAGTACACACGAGTACGGCCATGTACGATATGGCGTATGAGTAACATTTAACTGCTCCTGTCTCATGCAAACAATTATAGCACATTTTCATTTGATTATTCAAAACTTGTTTATTTATCGATCAATTTTCATCGTTAGCAACTTTTTTTTGCCAAAGAACAGGCTTTAATACAAAAGAAAAAAATTACAAAAGATTTGTTATTTCTTTTTAATTTTTCCCCCCTTAAGTTTGAACTTTTTCTTCATAAAAATTAAAATATCTTGGAAAAATGACTTGAACTGGAAAAGCGGTATACAGATCCATAATCTACGACCCAAAACTAGGTATACACTTATCGGCGTTTGTTAAAGTGAACCTATACTAAAGTTTTACCTGCGAAATTGGAGGGGTTATAACCCAAAACCAAGTCTCTGAACAATCAGTTGTATGGTAGCTATATGTTATACTGAACCGATTTCGATGATTTGGTGGAGGTAATATTAAAATACAATCGTGTGCAAAATTTTAGTAAAATATCTTCAAAACTGAGGGAGTAATTTTATAAAATAATTAAAATTTAAGCAAAGTTTCAAGTACCGCTATCTCGAAAAGTGGAGCCAATCGCGCGAAACCATTTAAATCACAGTTTCAAACTTCATACAAAATTTAGCAAAATTCAAAAATTTTTCATCAAAATTTCAACTTTTTAATCTGAATCTTTAGAACATTTTTGAGTATGCAGTTTTATAGCCCATACAATTTTAGTTAATTTAGTGTACTTCCGCAAGTTTTGACCGGCTAAAAAATCGCATTGGTGTTTGAGAACTTTTTTTTTTGAGACTGCTTCTCGGATTTTTTTTTATATAACAAGTGCAATTTACAAAAATTGGCGTTGATTTTTTGAAATTTTATTGCTAACGATCTCAAAGGTTTAATTTCATAAGAAATTCGTGCTTATATGAAAAAAAGTTCAAAAATCCGTCACCAAAAAAAAAAATCTCAAAAACCAAGTCGTTTTAAAATTGCACTTCGTTGAAATAAAATTGTATAGGCAATAAAACTGCGTACACAAAAATATTTTAAGGACTTAGATAAAAAAGTTGAAATTTCGATGAAAATTTGTTGAATTTTCCTAAATTTTTAAACTGTGATTTATATGGATTTGTTTAAAGCTTGGACGGTATTTTGATACAAAAATAACAAATAAAAGTAGCTCGAAAAACATTACGAATATTAAAAAAAAAACAACACTTGGTCATTCTGTTCATTACTACAGTGTAGGTACAATACATGCATGCATACATATGTATGTACTAGCGGTTTACGCCGGCAAGTTTTGCGGCAGCGGCGTGGTCAACTTCAAAAAGAATCGGCGGCGGCGGCGACGCCAGCGCGTCTGGAAACGCCGGCGCTACTAGCCATAAGATAGATTAGAAAGAGCCATGAGACTACTAATCTTATCATGTCATCTCGTCAGCATTAGGCATTCGCCATGTCAATTCAGATCATAATTATATTTAATTCATTCTTGAATTAGATTTGAATTTAAATATTGTTACTTCCTAATTGAATCAAATTGTGCCGGGCGCTGATGGATGGGCGAACTGAAGATCTATAGTACATATATACATACATACTAGGTTCTCTATGTTCTCTTCCGATCCGTATGTACTATTCAAATTAAAAAATAAAAATAAAAACTTTAAAAATTTAAATTATTGGAGTAATTTTCGTCACTATTAATAAATTTTTGTAATTATCTTATCTACCGTTATGTTAACTTACGAATGTAAAAATTTGCAAAAAAAAGTTTTGCTTTTTATTAAAAATCTTTTTAACAAATATTTACCTCTTTATTAAAAAAAAAATACACACGAAAATCAACTTGTTTTGGTTTTATCTCCAATATTTGAGGAGTAAGATGTAAAAGGGAGCTTCTGTTTAAACTCCTTTCTGAGATATTACCGTTAAAGTTTTTGTTGTGTGATAACTTTCTTCTTGTTGTAGTATATAAAAAAGTAGTATTATTGTAGTATTGAAAAAAAGACTACTGCGGAAAAAAATTGTCGATTACCAGTGTTCGACTCCAATTTAACAGTATGTTTTTTTCTGAGTTACGCCTTTTTTGGAAAAATTCTTATTCAGTGGCCCAAATTAGGTAAAAAAACTCGTTTAGACATGAAATTTTCGTTTCGTAAAAACGCGTTATTTATACGAGTAGTAAGTAGCTCTTTCAAACGATTTATTTCAAGGTGCATACATCATGAAAATTTTGTAAAAAAAAGTCCTTAGGCACCGAACGCCGCCGCCTCCACCGCCGCCGCTGCGCCGATATTTTTGTAACTCGGCGGCGGTGCGTGAGGAATGACCAAAAACGGGGCGGTGGCGGTGGCGTGGCTCGGCGGGGTAAACCTCTAGTATGTACCTAAATTTACTTTTATTTCTGTTCTTGCAAACAACTTTAGCACTTAACCTTTAATTAACTACATTAGTGACAATTAACCGTTAAAGAGGATATACATAATTAGGAACAGAAGGGCATATATGTACGTATTGTATGTACATACATGAATTCCCGTAAAAAAAAATTTCAGTTTCCTTGAATTGTAGTCCCACAAAATGTTCCTTCATGTGTGGAAGCAAAACGCGAAAAGCAATAAATTAAAGGAGCGTACCAAACTCCATCGACCTCGACGTTTTCATTCGAAAGTACTGAATCCCCAAAATGTGGCACAAAGGCTGCGACTAGCCGTAGCGGACACATTTTGGGAATATACGCAAACTACAAAAGTGAGTGGATTGTGGCTGCTGCGGCGGAATAGAACAAATGGCATTTCTAGGTATGTGCATGCTTACATATATACATACATATCGTCACCTGAAAAGCAAAAAAGTCGTCGTTAGCCTCATCGCTTAAATGCAAAAGGTCGTGACTACTAATTTTATGAAATACGTCGTATCAATCAAAGTGAATTTTGAATTTTTTTATAAATAACGACAATGTTATTACGGCGCTTTGCATTTTAGGTTACGATATGTGGATGCATGTTATATTTGTATACAGTGAAGGCTCCCATAAGCGGACACCGATGGTCAGCTACTTTATGTCCGCCTATGGGAGATATCAAGTAACAAAGTCTAAGTTCGGGCGGAGCCGAACATTAGATACCCGGCGCAATTATTAAATATAGTTTTTTTTCGCCTTTCCGAAAACTACCACTACATGGTAAGCAGGGGTGGTTTTATCCCTATTTCAAACGTCTTCGAAAAGCTTACAACAGTTATACGTGGGCGGTATCACGCCCATTTTTCACAATTCCATAATAATGTTACTTCTTTTCAAAGGATTGTTGTTAGTATCAATTTTGTGTGAAATATCGAAGTTTCAAGCATTTCTGAAGTTTACCGTTATATAAAAAGTAGGCGTAATTTTAGTCCGATTTCAATAATTTTCAGCGTTTTGCTTGTATGTAGCAAGCACATTAATCATTCCGAGTTTGGTTCAAACGTTTACCGCGATACACATATGTGGTCAAAAGTGGCCTTTATCGCTCCCATTTTCGAAAATTTTATTATAAACGTATTTTGTGCTAAAGAATTATTACAAACGTCAATTTTGATTAAATTAGCTTCGGTATTTACTGATTTATCGAAGATTTCGCATTTCTCCAAATTACCGTTATATGGGATGTGGGCGTGGTTATTGTCCGATTTTAAAAATTTTCAGCTATTTGTATGTATCCCGCAAACGATGCATCGATATTTTTGAAACATCGATAACATAATGTTTACAATTGCCTAAAATCTCTAAATTGACGATACATCGATGCTAGTTTCAACGATGTTTTAACATCGACTTTAGTGTGCCTCAGACTTGAATTCAACTTAACCATTATGCTCCTAAAATTTTTTGACTGGCCATGAATTTTTATTACTTATTCTTTTGGGGAACATTCAGAAATTTCGAGTTTACTCGTATCTTTCAATATTAAAAATGCTTTCTTAATCTTTAAAAAAAGAGCCGGGTTCCCCTTGAGCTTTCAACGAAATTGGACCGCTTATGGGAGATTTTTTTTCATAGCGGGATATTTTTTAATGTCCGCGTCCATTTATCGGAAAGTCCGTGTATGGGAGAGTGTTTTGTGTGGAAAAAAACTAAAAACTGTTCGTTCCCAAGAATGTGTCCGCTTATAGGAGATGTCCGCTTATTAGTGCGTCCGTCTATGAGAACTTTCACTGTATACGTATTTTAATAAATAAACAGGTGGATTTGGTCAACTGTACTCATAAGTCTATTTCTACTCGGTGTTTACTTATCGCTGAAATTATGGTTAAAATTCTACTCATATCCAATTTTGAATACTATATCGAGTGATCTGGCTATAACCGACGTGGCATTTCCGGGCATCACCATATGTAGTCCCAAAGTAGTTAATCGCGAGCGTGTGCAGCGTTACATAACAACATTGTTAGTCTCGTATTTGAATTTTGTGATCACACTTTAAGATTTTTTATAAATTCCACAGAAACATTCCCGACAACATAGATCCCCATGATGTTGCCATCGGCTTGGATTATATCAACGCCTTTACCGATCAAAACTGGAAAGCTCCAACACAGGAAAGCTTCAGATATGCCGACGATGTACTACGTTTCAATAATAAAACTATATATGAGGCTGCCAAAGCCGTCAGCGGCAGCTGTGACGACTTCGTCAAGCGTTGTTATTGGGGTATCACCGAGTTCCCGTGTCGCCAGCAGCACGAATATCTCTCCTTCATATCGACAACTTCGTATTTGGGTCCATGTTGTTCATTTAACTATAATCCGAAAAATCTCTCATATGTACCATTTTCTGCAAACATTTTCGGCATAGATGGAGGCTTAACTGTGGTGGGCGTCGAGGGATCCGAACGCAATCTTTCAACTGGCTTGATCGTCTTGGCACACCACCCCATGGACTATGTTACAGAAGCCACGTCTTCGGTTACAATTACGTCCAACTCCGAGAGTTTCGTTGAAATCTCACCAACTGTCCAAAGCTCTTCGACTGAGGTGCTAGAACTGTCGCAAGGTAAACGCGATTGCCTCATTTCAGACGATCTCGAGCTGCATAACTACCGGCAGGCAGCATGCTCGCTCGCTTGTCGAACGGAAGCGATAATGAAGACTTGCCAATGTGTGCCCTATCACATACCCAATGCTGTGGCCGCTTATCGCGAGTGCAAGTTAAATGACAGTGCATGTTATTCGACTAACTATGGTATGGAGTCTTCGAATGCATAGGAAATCAACTGGGAATTTCATTTAACTCCTACATTATTTTTATTTAGATGAATTTAAAAGTGTAAAGTGCGAAAGTTGTCTACCAAACTGCTATGACGTCACTTATTCAACTTTGGCCTACAAAACTGATTTAAAATTGCACAACTATTCGGTTAGCACACACTAGTACGTGTATTTTAACTTTGATCCAAACGGTTGTTTATATTTCAAAATACATTTATATTTGCAGCATGACGATTGACTCACAGGACACTTTCATCGTTCGCGCTTACTTGACCAGGCAAACAGTGCCAGCAATACGGAAGGTGGTCGTAATGTCGTGGATCGGACTTTTGTGTAAGTAATGTTGGCTAACAAAATAATTTAAAATATTTTTTGACTACATATATCCAGCGGATTTGGGAGGAGTATTCAATTTGTGCCTGGGGATTAGTATGGTATCCCTAATCGAATTCGCCTACTACTGCACACATCGTTTATATGTGAACTACAAGGCCCGCAGCGTTTTACTTCAGCCACTCGGTCATTTTCAGAACAGAAAATAATCGGGGAAAGCTACTAAATTCGAAAAATGCAGTCCTTTTGCCGTTGACCCGTGTATATGTTGATAAGTTTATGTGAAAAAAATATATATATATCTTATTGCGTTAAATTTTGTGAAATAGATATTCCAAAAACAAGGAATAAGCAGTGTTTTAAACCTAAAATCATTGTTAAATTAAAAATATTATAAAAAAAACATAAATATCCTTTTGAAGCAAAATGAATAGGCTTTTTGTATTTTCATTCTTTTTTTCTCTTCTTTTTACCAACATGCTTCTCAGCTTTTCGTTTATATCCGGTTTTCGTATTATTTTCTGTATCTTCGGCTGATTCTGTTTCCCCTTCAGTTTCATCATTATCTTCAATTTCACTGTGAAAGATTAAAAAATAACAATTAAACCTCAAACGCAATCACAATACATAATTTAAATCTGGTTACTTACCAAACTGTTTGCATATTCTTAAACATGTCCTCGTACTCCTTATCTTCTGGTTCATAACGCTTTTGATCCTCATCATTGGCTTTTGAGCTTTTACTTTCAATCTCAACCAAGCCTTTTTCTGTCTCATCATTTGGAGCACAGTTGAGGCTTCCCGCTGATTCTCGTATTAAGATTCGTGTAGCCTTTGACTTTACATAGCATTGATAGAGAAGGACTGTAGAGTCCACGTGATGGACACGGACATATCGATCCAAGGAAGCAGAGGCCAAATATTTGCCAGAGCTATCTAGTGAAACATCACTGATAGCGCCAGTGAAGCCTTTGTAAGTATGGACGAATGTTTTCATTCGTCTAATATCAAATGCCTGAATACATAGTTTTCGTTTTAGTTTCAATAATAATAATAAAATTTTTTTACTTACCTTCATAGCTCCCATTGTTGTTCCGGTATATATGTAGTTCCCATGTGCTGTCAGAGTGGCAAAGCTCATCTGCTCCTCGGTAGCAAAGCATTGAACAGGACGCCGTTGCTTACGGGTATCATAAACACGAACATAACCGTAACGTGAACAGGTAGCCAGTATATGCGGTGAATCTATAAAGCCCACATCACTATCCCACACTGGTACTTCAAGCTGAAGATAATCATTGGGCAAATTTTTCGAGCTGAACAATTGTTTACCATCGGCGGCCATATCGAAAATCTTCAAATTGTTTTTACGCCCTTTACCTCCGGTGGCTACTAGGTTGGGACTTGTAGGACATTGGCGTAAATGTACCATGTCGTCGCCGCTACTGACCACAAACTCTGATTCAGAGCTATTTTCTAGTGATATGCGCTGCACTTGGCCATTTGAAAAGCCGGCCACTAAATATTCGTCAAAGCGTGCCAAACCCACTACGGGGGCAAATTTAAAATCGATGGTGCGCTCTATTTTATCGGTATGCAATGAATGCAGCTGAGCATTCTGTTTGGCGCGCCCAATTAAAATTTCAGAGCAGTCATTCCCAAAAGACAGAGCTGTAACCCTATCATCTTTTTCTAGTTGGTTGATGTCATATAAATTACGTTGGGCAAACGGATTCTCCTCAACATTGGGCACAAATCCTGAGGAATTTTAATAAGGTACGAAAGGTATGACGTTTTAATATTTATAGTTACGGCTCGATATGCACGCCAGTTTGGGCATCGTCACACGATCAATATCGCTATGAATACTGATAGATTTCGAAATATATATCTAGAATTTTTGTGATATATACGGTCATTAAATAACGCGATACTTGGATCAAGTCAATAACTATTGATCGTGTGACAGTGCCCATTGATTAGAAATGATATGGCGAAACAATGGCTAAAGGTTTTTGGATGAGATGGTCGAGGCGTTCTTGGCGAGTTAAAATCTTAAAATTAATTTCAAGAATACATTTATAAAGCGTAAAATAGCACGATGATAAGAGCCAACCATGCAATTATTCAATGAAGGTATGTAGCAACTTACTTTTAAAGGAGCCCGTACTTGTGCCGACGTAGAGCTCGTGGTTTTCATTATAATTAGGGTTTTTCAAATTTGATGTTGTCCACTTCATTTCTCAGTAATTGTTCTATATTTTACACATTCAATAAAAGCCGAAATCCTTTGAAAACAGTCAACTGAAAATTCTGATCCAAACAAACCGAAATACAACGCACGTGCATAAACAGCAAAAACAAATTTACATTAGGGATATAAAAAAATATCGAGCAGCATCGATAGTCGTGGCTTCAAACATCGATGTTTGCCAATGTTTTTACGTTTCCGATGTTAAGTAAAAACATCGAAGATGTTTACTAATTTTTCACCATTTCGTTTTGGGTGCGATTTAAAATTGTATGCGAGCGTTTGATAAATGGTCTCATGGAATCATACCTAAGTAAGTTCCTTTAATAAGTTCGTACATTACAATTAATAAGTGTACATAAATAAGTATAAGTGTAAGTCTTCTAAGAAATAGTTAAATTGGTTTAAATCAGTGTTGGGCCGACAGAGCTTTTAGGGCCGGTTGTTCAATGGTAATTAGCACAAATCGGAGGTAGAAGTTACAGTTAGATACAACGACTGCCTTATCGATCACATGTTATATGCATGATGTCGAAATCGTCTATAATGAAGTTTAACCGCTTTCTCTGCTCTCTATACAAAATGTATAGAAAGCTTAAAAGAGCTTTGCCCGCGGACAAGGCAGTGCCCATCAGTGATATTGTAAAATCGCTTAGCGTCATCACCCAATTTGCCAACAAACTTCGTATAGACTAGCCGACGAACTGGCCGTCGAATGAAAAGTCGGCGGGCCGGAAAAACAACTAAACTGAAATTTAAATACATTTCTATAATACTACGTTCCAATATATAAACCCACCACATATTGACAAGTTTTACAATTAATTTTTTTCGTATTTAATTTTAGTTACTTTTTTATGAAAATTAATTTCATTCTCTAACACAAGCTATATATATCCAATTTCAAATTGTATGCAATATTTAAAGACAGCAGCAAGCCATTTGTAAAAATCGGTAAAAACATCGATGTTTTAAGTCGATACTCGAACTATCGAAATATCGATTCTTAAATATCGATAATATCAATGTTTTTTTACAACCCTAATTAACATTTGACAAATTTTATGAAAACTGCCAAAGGAAACGAACAGCGTCGCATTGAAAAACCAGCTGTTCGGAACAGTGGATGATTTCATGCTAAAAACATGGTAAGGTGAAACCGTTCTCTCAATTCGTCGGCCATGATTTTTTTTTTGAAGTTTGCCAACATTTTAAAATCACATAAAATTTAGAGTAAAAAAAAGGGATTGTTCAAAGTTTTTGTTGTTCGAGATTGAAAATGGGAATGTGTGCGTGAGTTTGTGAGTAAAATTTTAAAATTAAATTGCTTGCAAACGTCAAGAATTTGAAAAATTCCTCTCAGCGGTTCTACCTTCCTATTTTTTTATCATGGATGATTTTATGTAACAGTGTGTTAAAGTGAAAGTACATAACGTCCATTTGTATGAAGCAAGTTACATGAACAAGGCTGACGGTGACGGTGACGCACAAATTAGCTCAACTTTCAACTTTACTTATGCGTTTGCGTCAAGTGACAACTATTTTCTGTGTATTGTTTGTTTATTTAAACTTAAATTTTTTCAACGCAATTTTTGCAAACAGCAGCAGCGAGTTTTTGATTTTACGGGCGCAATGGTATATGGATAGTGAGTAACTTGCCGCATAATCACCGTTGACGCTGGCATTGACGGTGACGGTGATGCAATAGACGTTGTGTGCTTTCGCGCTTAGGCTTTCTGCACATGGGCCGTCCAATCACAGTTACTTCAACGTCACAATCATGATGCAACGACTACGTGACGACTACACTTTCGCACACACGGTCGTGATATTTCTATTGATTTGGCGGCTAAGAATACGCTTATAGCAGGTATTTTCTGTTTTTTTGGTTGATATTTACGCAAAATTTTTACAAAAGCCTGCAATTTTAAAATTTTGAACTGTGCTGCAACAATTCTAGACATAAATTTTCATTAATCTCTCTTTTCTTTTCCTGAAATGTGTTTTGTTCACGCAGGCAGAGGCTTTTTACAATTTGGCCATATTTGATAGTTAAAATTCTGGTATTTAATGAATTTTGTTGCAATTATCCAATTTTTAATAATTATCACAAATTGTATCCAAGAAATACTAATTTTTAAGCAATTCAAATGCAAATATTAACTTTTTCACTAAATTTTCCCCATAAAATGTAAACAAACAATGCGTGCATAACGATTAGCAAATTACAGTGTCGTATTTATCTGTTTCTGCATCTTCTACGATTTGCCGATAACAAGTGTGCATGTGCTCGGCTCAAAATTTAAGGGCGATACGATAACGCAACCATGATTGCACGACAAGTGGCAGATAGCCTTAAACTTTTCTCATGAATATTTCTGTGGTCATAAGCAATAACCGCTTAAGTCGATTTAAGAAAGAATTGAGTTACATATGTATATATGCTATCGTATTCTGCAACTACTATTACATGTGTGTGGGAAATCCCCATCTCGCCAGCTTGGCTATTTAAAAAGTTATAGACGACATATTTTGGTTTACCCATAAGGTTAACATTACAATCGAAATGTTTAAAACGTTTTTTCCCGAATTCAGGTTTTTCGACTTAGTCGGTTATTGCTTATGACCACAGATTTATATAACGAATTTACAGTTTTCAATTACATATGTACACTCATTTGCTAAAAATTTGGATATGCATCTTCTTTTTCTACAGGATCAATTTTAAAACTTTAACATCTAATTTCACGAAAGCAATTTAAGTACAGAATTATTTTAATTTTTTGAATTTTATACGGAAATTGACAGAAATAAAGAAATAATTTTCGATTTAAATTGCTGGTGAAACCGGCGGTAAGGGTCGTTTTCTCAAGTAGCTTTTAAAATTTATAGGCTACAAACAAAAATTGTGTACTGAAAAAATATATTCGAAGGGCAGATAAATTTTAAAACCTACATGAGAAAACGGCACTAAATGCGTCTCCTAAAAATATCAATTTTAGAGTTTTGACAGTCTTTTAGTAAAAGAGCGACATATTTTTATGTAAAATACTTACTAAATTAAACACTGTGGCGGATGTAAAACTACTGTCGAGATCAGCTGTTAAACGAATTTAGACGAAAATAAAAACATTTTCACATTTTGCACAGAAATAAATGTAATTTTTAGATACAAAATGTCTTTGACAAAGGTTTATGACGCCCCCACAGTCTTCAAAAATTTAAATGGGATTATGAACATCTATAAGCCAGCTGGAATGAAAGTCAAGCATGTAAAAAATGCGATACTCCACAACATAACCAAAGGTACCAGGATCTATATGATTTACAGCTTAGATAAAATTTCATGTACTTAAATTTTGTTTAGATTTAAATGAAATGCAAGTCCGCGAGCCTCGAAAGCTAGAAATACCGCTGTTGGAACCAGGAGGAGCTGCGAATCCATTGCTACGAAAGATGGAATCTATTGATTTATCTGATCATATATTGGCCACAGGACCACGATATCAAATATCCGATATACGTTGTGCACTTGTAGCTGGGTTGGGCAGACACACAAGTGGTGTATTGTGTAAGTTTACCCTTTACACCAAGTAAAAGTTCATAATAGTTGCGTTCCAGACGCTTCACGATTTACAGGTTTTTACAGGAAGTCGTTCCAGGTGACCACCTCCCATAAATTTTATTAATGGGGGAAACAGCTGTTCCTGCAAATCGTGAATTTCGTGAATATCATGAAGCATCTGGAACGCAACTATTATCACCTTAATGTAGAGAGGCCCCAACTCATTTTCCAAATTTAGCTCTGTACAAGACAAAGAGATTACTCACTAAGGACCTAATAGAATTTAATACCAGCTGCTACTCCATTAAATTAGTTTAATTTTTTTTTAACCAGTGCTTTAAGAAAACTTCAATTGAATAATTCCAATTTTAATAGTTTTTTTTTTTACTATATAAAAAACAAATATTTTGATAGGGCCTTTCTATATTAAGGTAACGATATATACATACATGCATATCGTTGCTTATTAAATACTGGAGTACAGGAGCAGGCTAATAGAAAAGCCAAACTGACATTTTGCATTTTCTACAGGAAAGGCAAAAATCCAACACATACAGGCTGTATTTCTTTACACATTTCAGATAATCCAATTTCACAGCCAGAATAATGCGTTTGTAATATACGTTAACATATCATCAGGAACGTTCTAAAGAATAAGTAAACAAAAAAGTTTATTCCAAACGTTCAGAATGAATAAAGAAAGAAATGTAGCCACGAATTCTGTGCCTTGGGCGTTTTGAAAAATTTTATAAAATCGTTGGATTTTGAGTTACGACTCTAAAATTTTTAAGGAAGATTCGTCGTGTGCCTTGGGCGTTTTGAAAAATTTTATAAAATCGTTGGGTTTTAAGTTACGACTCTAAGGAAGATTCGTTTTAGTATAATAGTCAGGGTCGGATTAAGAATGTGGGGCTCGAGGCCGTTATATATGTAAGGTCTCTTTTTGAGTTAATAATTATATACCATTAACTGGAAAACTATATTTTCATTTCAACATTATCGTTAATTATTGACTTTATACCACGTGTGTTCTCTTGAAGTTCTCGCCTGAACTCCTTTGTACTTTTCGCTCATGTTGCATTCAGTATTAAACGACTACCCCCGGCACTTTCGTTAGGAACGGAAATGGAATACTACGAATATTTTGCCTCTTTGATCCGGCTTATTATTTCCGCCTGTACTTTCTCACCCCTCCCTTATTTCCAAATTCTTTGACATGTCCGCGATCTTTCCTGTATTCTGTGAAAAAATATTTTTTTGTTCTTTCGTCATCACATATGGGCGCCCCCCCAATTGTGAGGGCACTATTCCGCGGCCCCGTCGGCCCTGCCCTCAATCCGGCACTGATAATAGTATATGTATATAGATACTTAAAATCGTAACCCGAATAAAAAAATGTCAGTTAGGCCCTCTCTACATTTCATCAACGATGTATAGAATTTCAACCATTATTCCATATTTCAGTGTTTGGAATTAATAAGGGAATACGCCAATCACATAAGATACAAATAAATCGGCCGCTGCGGGCCTATCATGTCTCTGGACGCTTTGGTTATGCGACGGAAACGAATTTCCCTGATTCCCGAATTACTGTGCGCTCTGATTATCGACACGTGCATCCAGAACGGATGAGCTCGTTGGCTGCCTCCATGCAAGCTTCACACCAACGTAAAATGTTCGAACTCTGTGGTGTAGATCTGCAATCGCAAGCAGCCTATGAAATCGCTTGCAAAGGTCTAGTTCGCCCAGCTGATAATACACAACCAGTAATTTATGGCATCAAACTGATTTATTTCCAACGCCCCGATTTTACAGTAGAGGTTCATGCTATCAACGAATGTGAAGACTACTTAGCAGCGTTGGTAAATGAAATGGGCATTGAATTACGAACAGTAGCGCACTGCACAGCTATACGCTGCATACGGCATGGACACTTCAACGTCGAAAACTCCTTGCTAAGGCATGGCTGGAATATACGAGGTGTTGTGAAAAACATGCGACAGCAGCTACAGGTTCTGGAGCAACATCCACATCTATTAACACAAGATAAAATTGAATTAAGAAGTGATTAACATTAAAGTTAAACTGTTGCCAGTCAGATGTACACAGTTGCCGTTATACAAGAAATAGTGACATCTTATTTTCGAAAATTTTCGTGTTATTCGTTTTGCTTGATGATACATTCTCCCAGGTAGAGTATGTTTTTCCCAGCACTGACGTCTCGATTCCAACAGGTACCGCGTTTTGGGCAAAATTGGTACCTGTGGGGCGATTTGGACGTCAGGTTTATGTTGTAACACTTGGCACAATGTTTTGTTGTCCCGAACTCGTTCACCATTAGGATGTCTGCATTGCGTTGTTTTAAAGCTGTTAGAAGTAGACGGTTAGGTCCTCGCCTATATCCGCGTATTGGCGAGTTCGCAGCGATCTCGGTTGAACCTATACATATTAACGTACTATCTTCTCTGTTGGGGACCAGTTGTTTCGCAATGTGGTTGCAGGCTTTTTGTCGAGCCACCTTTCTTTGCGAGAAAATTTTTTGTTTTTGCTACAGTATTTCAAGCTGAAATTTATAGTATTCACGAAAGTTCGATGAATTTGCAGACAATTCTGATTTTGTGGTGAAATCTTTCGTATATTTACGTAGTTTTATTTACTTTGTTGCACGTATTTTTATTAAATCTCCTGTACAATCTGTTTCACTTGGTTTCAGTTTTCTCTTTTTCACTAGCTTAGTTTCGTTTTGTACTTGTCTTTGCTTTTCCATGCAAAATGGTATGGAGACGCCATCGGTCTGAAATGAAGAAAACGTTTTAGTGCACGTTGAAGGAATTATAAAATATTTTCCAAATTTACTTTTATCGAAGGAAGAAAATGGTCCTTTGAAAAATTTTAATCGACACAATAGTTGATGGATCGTATCTGATTTTATGTAAACCGTGTTTTAGTTGTGGTATTAGTGAAGAATTTTTTATTTCCTTGATTTCATTATACCATAAAATAAAATAATTCTATGGAAGACCAAAATAGTTTGACATTCCCTATTTCGTGTAGTTTATTTCCGTTCCATTTTAAATCAGTACACATACGTTCTAATAACGCTTCATCTGGGATATTTTTTAAATTTTTATCGAAAAGGTAGCTCCGTGTACTATACACTTTTTTTTTGTCGTCCTCAATTTTAAATATTTTCGCAGCCGAATATATGCGTGCATCCAAATATTATTCTTCGTCGATTATATATTTGCTTCATGTTTTACATGAAAATTCTTAGCATTTTGTGTCAGCAAATCACACAAGTGCATGGAAAGTGTGCTATAAATAAAACACCAAAGTACCAATACTTGAAATTCAGGCATTCGTACATACTATTCTCATCTGTATACATTAATTACACGAATTACATTAGATACACGAATTAAATTAGTTGAAGAAAAATTAAAAAGCTAAAAGTTTAGAAGCTAAAAAATTCTTATCTTTAACAAAATTTGATAAACTCTATTATAAGATAAACAAATATGTCGACCCCACGGCCAGAATCACTTTCACCCACCAACTGTGCCGTGTGCCAAACTCCTGCTAAACTTTACTGCTCAGCTTGCAAGATGGTCAAATATTGCGGCGCCGAGCACCAAAAGCAACACTGGAAGCAACATAAATCGGAATGTCGGCCATTCCGCATGGCTGAAGATAAGGATTTAGGGCGTTACTTAAAGTCCAAGCGCAGCATTAAAGCAGACAGTGTCATTTTTACTGAAACTCCCATTATTGTCGGTCCAAAATGGTATCTGAACGAGCGCGAAGAACAAGTGCCAGTTATGCCATGTGTGGGCTGTTTCACACCCTGCCGTATGGGAATTCATTACTGCCCGAAGTGAGTAACTTGTTAACATTAAAGTTAAACTGTGCTCACAGTAAAAATTATGAAGTGAGTAAAAATTAGCAAAAGAAATGAGTCTGAGTATTTTTTATACATATGTACATACCTACACGGTGACCCCGGGCAGCGGAAGTTATAAATATTTAAATTTATGGTCGTTTTCAGATGCCAATGGCCAACATGTTCGGCGAATTGTGGCGGTTTGGATAATGCAGACCTCCATGGCGCTGAATGTGCCATACTCATGTTGGGACCTGGTCCAGCTTCTTCAGAACCACGCTCACTGATCGACTACTTTCGTACGGACGCCTTAGTTGTGCTGAAGTGTTTATTATTGCAACGGCAAAATCCGAAAAAATGGGCCGAACTGATGGATATGCAAAGCCATGAGAAGGAGCGCGTGGGCTCTGAATTACACGAGTAAGCAAATTACTAATTTTAAATTTTGAGTACGTAAGTATATATTTCATCCATGTACAGTGATGCCGAAAAGCGGATTGTGTCCTATCTACAACGGAACTTCCTGCAACGACTAAAAAGCGTAGAACAAAAACAAAAGCAAAAATATCTGCACGAGTATGACAACGCGGTACTGCACCGCATTTGTGGCATCATCGAGACGAATTATATGTGTATTAATTTGCCATCAGGGATTGAATTGAGCGGCGTTTACTACATGGCGTGCATGATGGAGCACGCCTGCCAACCAAACTGCTACTTTCAATTTGATCAGCGCAACGGCTTTAAGATATCCATTATAGCCGGCAGAGATATTGAGCGCGACGAGCACCTCATCATCATGTACTCGAATATGCTGTGGGGCACACAGATGCGTCAGGAGCACTTGGCCATGACGAAGCACTTTCTATGTAAATGTGAACGGTGCCGAGACCCCACAGAATATGCCACCCATTTTAGTACAATGCTTTGCATGGGCGATGAGGGAAAATCTTGTGACGGCATACAATTGCCGAAGGATCCACTGGATATGAAGAGCGATTGGGCATGCAACAAGTGCCCGATTACCATCAGCGGGGAGGAGGTGAGTACTTATGATCCACATGTAACTCTTATTTAAGTTAACTGTTTTCACAGTCAGATGTACATAGTACACATGTAAGCAATAAGTCCACATTTTTCTTACATACACACATAGGTAAGATATCTTCTCACACAAATGACCGATGAGATTGAAAGCCTGTTGGCACGCAAGCCCACAGTGAAGCAACTGGAGGCGCTTATTGAGAAACTATCAAAGTTTTTGCATCCGCACCATTACCATTTGTTCAATTTGAAACATACGCTGATTCAGTTATACGGCACCGAGTCTGGATATTTGCTTGGAAAATTGGACGATGGGCTCTTGACTAAGAAACTACAACTTTGTGAGCAGCTTTACGGGATCTGTCAAAAACTAGACCCTTATACCATACGCTTGTCAATTTACGTTGGCATTATACTGTACGAAATGCAAACAGTTCTGGTTGAACGAGGTAAACGTCTGCTTGCCAACGCCAATAAAACCGAAGATGATGCATCGAGGGCATTGGATGCGTTTAATTTAGCTCGCGAGAAACTTCTAATAGCAGCCAAAGTCCTGGAAAAAGAGTTGGATAATGTCGCTGGCAGCAAGTTGAGTGATGCTGTACTGAAGGCGCTTAATGACGTTTATAAAGAGCAACAGTTACATAATTAATCAGTAATTTTCAATATGCATATTTAATAAAAATACAGTGTAATTACAATAGAATTTGTTTAACTTCATAAAGTTAAACTTTTTTCACAGTCAGATGTACATACATATTTTTCGCCATATAAGAAACAATGACATCTTATTTGCAAAAATTGTGGTGTTTTTCGTCTTGATTGATTATACATTCTCAAAGGTATAATATATCACGATTCCAACAAGTAAGGCAATCTGTGTGACGATTTGGATGTCAGGTTAACTCGGACTAAATCCGGATCAATTGAAGTTAATTCCCGAGTTGATATGGATCAACGCTGCCGTCTGTTTATGTTTTAACACAATTTTGTCTCGGAAAATCCAAAATTTTATACACATAGAAATCGAGCACTGCGCTAAAGCAAATTTCACTTTATAATCACAAAACGTATAGTAGATAGGGATGTAAAGACATCGATGCCGAGCCCGAGGACGACCTCTGGAAATGGTTTTGTGCAGCATAGCGTACTAACGGTATGCAATGGCCAATCACAGCGCATATTCTATTTTACAACGCCGAAGACGACCTCTGGAGGTGGTTTTGTGCAACATAGGGCCAGTTTTCCAGTACACGGCCGTAGTTTAAACTAAGTTAAAGCGCCCGATCTGGGTGGTTTAAGCTAAGATCAGACAATCAAATGTCCGCCAGCTGTTCAATTTAAACTCAGTTGACTTAATCTAAGTTTAAACTGGCACTGAAAAACTGGCCCGTAGCGTACTAACCAGTGTTGCCGTTTTGATCCATATACTTCAAAAGTGGTTCGTGCTTGTGCAAATTTTCGGAAGATACCTTTATTTACTTAAATTTTTCGCGTAATACAAATTTTGATACATGTTAAAGAGAAAATATTTATGTATGTATGCAGTGGCAGCTTTTAAAATTTGATCGAAAATGTTAAAACGTTTCGGGGTCAAATAAGCTTAAAGAAAAATGCTTTAAATGATCTATGTATAAAGAGCTGATTTCATTAACTAATTAATTTACTTTACTTGCCTCATATATAGCTCTGAAGCTGCAGAGCGTATATTTTCAGATTTAAAATTGATCCAAATTGAAAAGAGAAATAGAATTTCATTACAAACTGTTGAGAATATGATGGGGCGTATTCATAGTAAAAATAAAGTCGACACTGAATGCAATATCAGCTTTTTGACATAGTTCCCAACGAGTTTAACGTGGAATGTATCAGATAATTTGATAATTAACGTAAATGATCGACAGCTAATAGTTTTAAGATGTACATATATTTGAGTTCAAGTTTCTATAAAATCTATACATAATATTTTTGTTAGTATCTATACAAGATTAAAAACAATAATGTCTTTTTCGATAGATTGTCGAAATATGTAAAATATCTTTCTTCATGTACAAACGTACATATGTATGTGTATGAATGCGAATTACATGATTTTTCGGTTATTGACAATAATAAAAAGCGATGGTGAATCCAAATAGAATTTTTTTTAGTTTTTTCATACTTGATAATTTGATACCTAATTAAAAAATTTGTGATACATTTGATCCATTTTTTGTTTCCTTTACGATACATTTTTTCATGGCGTCGTGGCAACACTGGTACTAACGCTAGGCAATGGCCTTTCACAGCTCATTTTTTTTTTTACAACGCCGAAGACAAAAACATGAAAATATAATTCCTAAACTTTGTGCAAAACTTGCAAAAATTCAGCAAATTTTCTTCCAAATTTTCCACTTTTTATTCAGATTTTTTTTCAGAATTAGAGTATTCAGTTTTGCAGCCCATTAAATTCTAGTAAAAAAATGCAAGTTTGGAGTTAGTCAAAAATCGCATTGATTTTTGATCATTTTTTTATTGAAGGTGTTTTGCATTTCCTCCATATAAAGTATTTTCGAACAACGGTAATTCCAAGCTACATAAACGTGTACTTTATTATAATAAAATTGATTAGGCTACAAATCTGCATACCCAAAAAAGAATTAATTAATAAAAAATTAAAAAGTTGAAAATTTGCATGAAATCTTGCACAAAGTTTAGGAATTATATTTTTATGTTTTTTGTTGTAGAATGAACCATATTTGTATACGAAATTGACGGAAAAATATTAGCATAAAAATGTTTGCATATATTGTGAAAAATTTGCTGTGCCAATACTTTGTTCCGGCAGTGTACGTTTATAAAGAACAACGGTTAACTACATAATTAACCAGTAGCTTTCAATACACATATTTAATAAAAATATGAATTTGTTTTAAAATTCTTTTCTAAACGAGCATCTAAAACTTGGTTTCCTCCGATATTTTTATTGTGCAGTAATTATTGGAAAATTTTAGGGTATTTAATTTAATACAATTTGAGTAAATCCTTAATTTTTAATGTAGCACAGCTTTAGTTGAATATGTCAACTGGTTCTTGAGGGGCATCCAAGTCCCTGTACTGTGTTAATTGACGATACTTATTCGCGGGTCTGTAAGCATATAAGCATAAATACAATTTATTTATATTTAGTCTCTTTTATTCATTTTTTATTTAGGGATTATTTAAAATTACTTAGTTCATTAAACTAAAGAAACAAAATTAACAGCCAATTTCACGAAAGCAATTTAAGTGAAAGTTATTTTAAGTTTTTTAATTTTATATGGAGTTTGACAGAAAATAAAAATGTATTTTCCATTTAAATTGCTGGTGAAAGCGGCTGTAAGAAATATGAAAATTAATTAATGGAGCAGTTGTAAGTTGTTATAGTTGTACTGCTACGAATCAGAGCATTTTATTCAAACATATCGAAATTTGCAGGTGCATCCAGGTCATGATAACCAATAATACGACGTTGTTGCTCCATTGGTTCTCTGTAAAAAGTTTGTACACAACAAATTTCACAATACATTCGTAAATATAAAGTGGATAAAGAACTTAAACTTCGACAAGCAAAATAAACAGACCAATATAAAGTACTTAAACTACTTCGAAAAACATGAAATACATTCAAAAAGTTATCGATTCCAAAATTTTAACTACCTGCGGCCAGCTCCAAATCCGCGCCCACCACGACCGGGCATCATCATAGGCGGCGCATAAGCAGCGTATGGTGGCATAAATGCAGGCGGATATATCGGTGGTCGGTACCTAACGAAAAATAGAAAACGGCTTAGAAATAAACAAGAGCGCAATATTATAACTGGTAAACATACCCTAGGCCGCCAGACTCCGAGGTGGTCCGTTTAGTGGTGCTGGCATGCTCGGGAAGTTGTGGCCTTTTTGGATCGCGCAAATAATTATTGAAAAACTCTACTTCTTTGCGCACTTCATCCACCTTTTCCGTGTGCTTATTAAATATGTGTTTGCGTATAAATTCTGGGCCCTTAAATTTCTTTCCCGACAACGGGCACAACCATTTATCTTTTGCCAATTCCTGCGTGTTTGCCTGTACGAATTTTTCCACCTCAGCCTCGGCGTCTTTGCTTCCTAAATTTTTAAGCTCTTCATCGTCAACAGTTGTTGCCTTAGCTAAGAACGTTTGCATTTTGTTTTCGAAATTCTTTATGTAATCCTGTATATCATTCTGTGTGACTTTTGAGGGTGGCGGGCCACGCGCGTGTATTATGCCGCAACGGTTGGGCATCTCATCCTCATATGGATACTCGCAGTGATTATAAAAATCAACGGAATGCACAACACGAAGATATAAAATCAAGCAATCAAGCACAGAAATAAGTGGTGCATCTCTCTCAATTATCTCGCCGTCCGATTCTTTATTTTCGCCAGAGATGCCTAGTAATTCTTCCTCTTCTGCTGATGCTTCTTCGATAAGGTAATCCGTAATGTTTTGTAGAACTGGATTATTTGACTTAAAGCCATATGATCCGCCGCTGTCGCCATTACCTTTGGAATTATCGCATGCTTGCTTAGCATCCCCATCAGACTCCTTATCCTGTCGAGTAGACAAGTAATAATAAATGTACAATTAAACTTGCAAGTAATATTTACCCATAGCTTGAATTTATCGTCTAAGTTCATCGTAATCTTTGCGCATAGTTTGATGTCGGCTCGGACGATGGATTTATGCGCTGTCATTCCATTAACCGGTCGTACACGTCGACTTAAGTCACGATTCACGATTGCGCCCATCTCGCAGTCTCGCAGTCGCGTATTATTTAAATTCCAACAGATCTCTTTGATATTCACGTCCCGCTTGAATGTTACCCAACCGCGACGGTACCAGCGCCGATCAACTAAAGGATCGGCTATAGCCACACGTAAATAACCATCAAAACGTTGGCACAACGTTTCGATCTCAGCTTTGGTTATGGACGGCGCAAGGTTCCGCAAGAATATTGAAGAAGTCCGGTGGAGCGCGCGGGGCTGGGGTTCCTCCTTGACTTTGTCCAAGTCAATAGTCTCAGGTTGATCGTCATTCGTTTTCGTCTTCTCAGCATCGCTTTCTTTGTTATCCTCATCAACAACTGAGTTCGCTTTATCGGCATTTGTTTCTTCACTTTTAGCATCATCATTGTTTGCGCTAACAGCTTTGTTATTTTCATTATCTATCATGGTTTCATCCACTTTATCAGTATCCACCTTTTGCGCATTTTCTTCCCCATCATTTTTGTTAGTAATATCATCGGTCGTCTTTTCTGCCTCCAAACCATTTCGGGAAAGCTCTGGCTCAGGAGTTTTTTCTTCCTCACCGTTGACTTTACTTTCAACTGGTGCCGCTTCTGGCTCCTTCTCAGCCTCTATAACTTTATCAACTTCATTTTTTTCTTTAATTTCATCTGTCTCATCCTTTTCGGTTTCTACCTTCTCTTCTTTAACTATATTCAAATCATATTTGTCTTTTATTTTATCATCATCATCTTCATCGCTAGAACTGGAGCTGCTGGTATCCGAATCCGAGGACGATGAAGAAGATGATTCAGAGCTGGTGCGTTTACGTTTCAAAGATTTTTTATCCTTGCTCTTTTCGTCATCTTCACTTCTATCTTCGTCATCTGACATATCTCTTTTATCATCACTTTTGTGGGTAGAGTTTTTATTGTCATCGGCGTCATCATCGTCCCAGTTTTCTTCATCATCAGAAACGGGCGCGCGACGTATCGGCCGCGGTGATATGACTTTAGGTTCATCCTCCTCTTTGAGTTTCTTACCCACGGATGTTATAATTACATCGTCGTCGCGCTCTGGCTTTTTATCAAAGTTTCGTTCTGGGAAGGTATACTCTCGAGGTTTCTCATCGAGTATTTTCAGATCATCATCCGTACCACCTTCCAGTTTAATAACTACTGTGTCAAGCAGACGAAGCAACGGATCTGATTGAGATGTATCAACGGTCACTGCTTTTACTTGGCCGTTTTCCAAGAGTTCATTGAAAACTTCAACCCGTTTCTAAGTTAAAATAGTAATACGATTAGGCAAATATTTGTTCATAGCATTTTGCATAATTACTGTAATATACCTTTAAGAAACCAAGTTGTTCTTGTTTGCGATTAACACTGTCTACTGGATGATATTTGTTTTTAAACCTAATAAAAGGAAATAAAAGAAAGTCAAACGATCGGAATGTATACGTTAAATATATGTAGCTTATAAAATTTATTTGATACATATATGTTGTTAAATAAATGCTGGTTTAATGTAAACTGGGTTTTGGCTTCCCATGGTTAGCAGTAGGTAATACTTTTTGCGAAGATTAACAACTTCACACACAAAAAAAATCGCTAAACTAAAATTTTGGAATTTTCCTTGGTCCAGTAGAAGTAGTTGAAAAGTACAAAATTTTCTTCGATATCATTTAAATTTAACTATGAATTAAATACCCAAATCTTACCTCTTGGTTAAAATTTTTTTCATATCTTATTGGTATGTGTTTCGATTGATAAGCGGATAAAATTAAAACGCGATCAAATTAACACACTAGAGCATTGCTCGCCCAGTGCAAAATTTACAAAAATTCGAAAATCTCGTTATATATTTCTGAATATATACGAGCAACGCGAGAATGTGATAGTAGTAGTAGTAGTGGTAGTTGGGTACATATTGTAGTAGCTACGAGCGCATTTTCGCTAAAATTGAGCTGCTGCTGCAACCAGCTGCACAATATTTTGCACATACATGAGTTCAACAGCAAATCTCAAGTAACGTATAGCTCCCCATACGCAAATAGCTGTAGAGAAAAACTTGATTATACAAAACTTAACAACAATTTTAAATTTTAATTCATATCAGAGAGGTAGTTAAATCAAATATATGCATATGTATAAGTAAAAGAAAGTTAACAAACACTTTACATTTCCAGTGCTTATTTTTATTTTAGAAGCGCGTTTAGAACAGTAGCAAACGGTTGTAGAGCTATATATTCCGAAACAATCTGGGGTTTTATTTGTTAATTTTCTTTTACGCTTTTCCCATTACTTACCACTCTTCATCTTTGTGCGCAACGAAAAATTCATTTAACTGTTGGCGTTTAAACTCGATTTTGTACTCAGTGTACTTTCGCAAAACTTCCGAGTCTGAAATACCATCGTCCTGGGTATCTAAGAATTGTTTCAACGTAAGCATGGCAGGTTGAGTCTGCATATCACTTGTGTTCGGCTGGTCACGTACTGCATGGGGAGCATGTCCATGACCGGCGAAGCCGCCGTGATAGCTATGAGCAGCATAGTGTTCGTTCCAGGCATGCATAAGATATGGATCATAACCTGCATTCAGTAATATGGGTATATATTAGATAAGGCAAACCAAAGAGATTTGGACCCATACCATAACGAGGATTCCCACGCAAATCGTCACCCCAGTCCGGACGCATGCGTTTTGCTGGCGGCATTTCCCGGGTTGGCGACCCGTAGCGGTCACGCCCTCCCCCCCGGTAGTCACGATAGTCGGGTCTGGGCCTTCCACTTCCTCCACTTCCACCACCTCCACGGAAAGGGTTCCTGGTTGCAGTATTTGCATTAGATTCTATAACGGAATAAGTCTTTAAACATATTTACCGCTCCGACCAATCATCGCGACCACTTCCGCTAGTACCAGCGCCGCCTCGTCGATCGTCGCGTCTCTCCGAACGGTAACTATCTCCTGAACTTCGTTCGCCGCGAAACTTGTCGCGACGCTTGCGATCATACTCATCATCCGAATCGGCCATGACCTAGATTATGAAAGTAATTAAGAAACGATATGGATATGTAATGCAAATAACTAAATACTTGCAAAGCAAGTCAAGCGAAAATTGGCCAAGAATGATAGAATACATTTTCTGTTCGCTACATCGCGAGAATTGGCGTTCCCACGACCGTCGGGTCTACGTACAAAGACCGACGCTGCCCAAGGACTGTCACTCCAGCATCATTCCCCAAACACGTTTAGGAGAATGTGTATGCTGACACAAGACCAAGCGAAACTTGGCGCAGTCACAAGTGAAAGCGCCATACATAACCTCACTTTTGTATCATGTTAGGAATGCTTCTTATGGAGCTTTGAATTTTTAATATCACTTTCCACAGTATTTAGTGTGTATTTATCACTTCCCGGATGAATTTTCTCATAATATTAACGCTTATAAATCAGGAGCTGCAAATATTTTTTTGCTTTTTTAGGTGACTGCCTCACCGAATGGTGACTATGCGCTTCGCACTCATTTACGTACATAAATCGTACTTTGCCACTATTGTATATTGTTATAACGATATATTGTCGAAGAAATTAACATGCAAAAATATTGGTTAACAAACTTACCAGGAAATAACTTCGGAAAGACGCTGCAAAAAATTTCTGGCGATAAATCTTTTTCCACTGCAAATGACAGATAAATGACATGTGCTGCCAACTAATCAAAAAGAGCATAGCGATGGGAGTAGCGTGCCGAGCTTACGCGATACACCGTCAGATGGCGGTGAACACAGGGTGCTCCAGTAATTAATGGCCCTTGTAAAGGATGGATCAATGCTTCGAGAAGCAAACAAATTTACTAGGAAAGAAAGTTGCATCAATTTTTATTTTTTCCAATTTAAATTTTTTATTTTTTATAATTTTTTGTATTTCACATGGCACGCTTTGATTTAGAAGAAAAAATTCAGAACAGTTTTTGACACTTTTGATACCAGAAGCAACAACAAAATACACACAAATGTTGTTTTTGCTCTACTGATACTACCTGTTTAATGTGCCTTGATATGCATTCATGAACCAAAAATACAAGATCACGTAAGAACGCGACGTTGTATTTGTAACTGGTTTTGAGAAAAAAGTATGCGAAAGCGGGTTCGTCAGCTGAGCGTTTGTTTACATCACAAGCACCACTATTTTACACTTTTATTCAAGTAAACAAGAGTTAATTCAACATGACAACACATTTTAAAGCATTTTGTTGCATCATTTTACCTAAATTGAGCGTTTAAAGTGGCTGACAATAATTTTGGCTCATTTTGGTTTTCGTTGTTTTCTTTGCTTTGTTTACTTTTCGCCCGTTTTCCAGTGAAACAAGATGGCGTAGAACCCGCTAAAAAAATCGACTTTTTTCACTCTCTTGTTCTTACGTGATCTTGTGTCTTTCGTTCATGATATGCATTTATTTCTAAACTATAATTGATGGAAATGTCCAATATGCGCAACCACGGTTAAATGCCTAATTGGAACCTAGTTGCGTAAATAAGGCATTTCCATCAATTATAGTTCAGAAGGAAAAGAGACTGATGCTTTGGCTTGATGCATTTCGGAACGCACCCCTTGATGCATTTTTTCGTAATTTTTGCTTTTTTACAGTTATACGAAAAAAAAATTGATGATGCATTTCCGAGCGCTTTTTCCGCAGTTTCCTTTTTTAACCAGGTTTTGAATTTTTAATTTTTCAAATTAATTGGAATTTTGAGTACGCAGTTTTATAGCCCATCAAATTTTAGTCAGCCGGTTCACTTTTCACTTTTGGTTTTCATAGTTTTACTATGGGCGGATGAAAAATTGTCGTGTAAGGATATAAGGCTGAATATAATTAAGTGAAGGCTTCTGGAGTAGCTTCACGCCTATTTAGGGGAAAATTGCATAAACTTATAAGATTAAAACAATTCGAAATACAAAAAGCCCTAACTAACTAAAAATCCGAAATTATTTTGATTATGATGCATTTCATCGAATTATAAGTCCCACATCGTTGTATGAAATAAAAAAAAAATAAATAAAAAAATTTTATATTTGTCAATGTTATTGTGGCTTATTAACATTTTTATTTTTTAATATTTTTATTAAGCTTTTTACCACGATTGTTTATTAGGAAAAATTGAAAAGGCAACGAAGTCTAAGCGGTAGAAGTTATAGCAGCTATTTCGGAGATCACCACATCTCCTTATCAGACTTCTTTTTTCTAGGCTTCAGCAGGGATTTAGTGTAGAAAAAATTTGAATTAGTTGTGGCCTTTTTCATTTCAGCTTAAACTACAGTTATACCTAGTCCTATAGGGAAAAAACGCCAACCGGAAACTCACTTGATGTTTTTCCGCTAGACTAATCTTTGTACTTTTTGAAAGCCGTTCTTTAATATTTCGAAATTCATGCATCAAAAATAGAATATTTTTGACAATTACTAAAATACTTAAATTTTATTTTTTGAGACTTTAAAGTGGGAGGATTTATTGCTTCTGAATTTTTATTTTTTACGCTCTGCGGTCCTTGAAGCCATCTTACAAATGGTTACACACACATTACAGACATATACTGTGTACATATATTGTTGGTTTTAGTTTGTGTGTGTGTAGACCTTTTGTTATTCAGCAACCTTCAATGCGTGGGTTTCTGATTTTCAGTATTTTTACATTGAGGTATGTACATTTGTTTAACATTAAACAAAAAAAAAATACATTGAAATCGTTGGAGTTGAATTTCTCTTATTGCCAATTAAGCGCACGGGTAAAATATTTTTGGCTAAACAACATCCTTGATTGAAAACATTTAATTTAATTAAAACAGCCGAAATTATTTATGTTTTTAATGTTTATTAATTTTACTTTTTAAAATTACCTCTTAAACGTATTTGTTTTGCTTGCTTCATCGCCATATTCTTTCCGAATCGATGGCACATGGCTGGGAGCGGGCGACAATGACCCGAATGGCAATTAAAATTTAACGCAAAATGCAATTACGAACAAGTTTTTAAGAATTACAAATGTATAATGTAAATATAATGTAAAATAAAAAAAAAAACTACATGTTAGCCAGTTTGCTGGAGATTTTTCGAGTAAAAACAACAACCAGTAAAACATCCAAACTGTATTAAATCGAAGAGGCATTTATTTAAATTTTAATACCTGAGCTTATGCTGCATTCATGTGTGTGGCATGCATGCACATTTTCATATTTAATATGTACTTTTACTTACTAAATACTTACTAAATAATTACTTGTACTTACTAATTCTAAATAAAATAATTTATGGCGACTTATACGTTATTTTAATTTTAATTGTTATTCCTATATGATTTAATTTTTTTGCAAAAAATTCAGCAATTAACCGTTGTTTTCTTACTGATATTTTTTCAGTCAAAACTAAAAGTTAAAACTTTACTTTTATTTTTTCGGTCAAATATAAAAATTAAATTTGACTTTTATTTTTTCGGTCAAATATAAAAGTTAAAATTTGACTTTTATTATTTCGGTCAAAGTAGCAGTTTACATATTCACAATACAATATGTTTTAATAAAAAATGCACATCCTTTCAATTGCAGTTTTCTGTAAATATATTGAGTTTTTTAATTTAAACTTTAAGTTAATCACCTCTTTACAGGAATGATTCGGAATTCAATTTAACAATTAATATAGCTGTCAAGTTCTTCTCCGACAAATTGTATCGCAAATTGCTAAGAATAAGCTTAGTTCTGAGAACGCGCGTTCTACACTGAAAAGTACTCAGAACTCGATTCTCAAAAGGAGAAACAGCACTCGATTTTTAAAAGAATCGATACTAAGTACTCCAAATTACTCAGTACTTACAAAGGAACTCCGAAAAGAACTCAAAAGTACTCAGAACTTAAAAAAACTCGAGAGTATTCAGTACTCAATATAATTGTTTGATAAAAAAAAAAAAACAAAAAACAATTATATTCCTTTCTTCAATGTTGCAAGTTTTATGGTTAAAAAGACGTTTGAAAACTATACTCACCCAGTTAGGAGCAGCTGTTGGTTGCTTTACCACTCCATTCATTACAATTTTTCACTTTTCTTTTATTTTCACTTATAGGCGTATAAAATTTAAATAACTAAAAAAATAAACAAAAACACCAACAACTAAAGCACATGACTCTTTCAAGACATGTTGTCATCCGAGAGCTGTTGAATGTGTGTTAAGGTCAGGGTGAAGCCGTGCGAAGATGCAGCGACGTCAGCTAAAAAGAAATACGCAAAAACAAGCTTTTAAACCCAAAACAGAAAAGAAATAAATATTTCGAACGCAAGTAGGTGGCATTAGTATCCACATACATACATATGTACATATGCCCATCTGTGCATATGTGCGATGCTGTATAACAAAAAAAAAATTATTTAAAGATATTTATTGCAAAAACAACCGACTACGCATCATTGCCGAAATGGGAAAATTTACAATGGGTCAACATGGTTATGGCCAGATTTTGTATGGTTGTACATATATATCGTCGTTTAAAGTACAAAACCGCGTATCAACAAAATGTAAAACCGCGTATGTGAGGTTGCATAAATTATTTTATAGAGAGTAAAAACAGCCATATTTCAAATGGTTCTCCTTTTTATAAAGCAATCGCATTTCTGGCTAGTGTATTTCAGGATTGAGCCAAGAGCTTGTGTAAGCATATCCAATTTTTGGCAGCCAATGTCTGTTACGCGGTTTTGCAGAATGACGATACGCGGTTTTGTACTTTAAACGACGATATATGTATGTATGTATGTATGCACATAAATAAATAAAAAACATTGCTGCACACTCAACTGCAATTTCGAGTTTTCAAGCACGCTTCTGCCGCTCAGACGTTCATTAATATATTAATTGATGCAATTTTATATAATTTTTAAGCATCTCGCGCTTGTGCGATTGCTTTTTTATGAGGTTTTGAAATTTTTTCTTTTGAGTTTAAACTTTATATTAGCACTTCAACGCTGAAATAGCCATCAGCAGCAGCAGTGGCGGCAGCGGCGACAGCGGCGACAGCAACGCCAACATTGTCATCGTTGTCAGTCATCTCGATTTGGTGCGACCACAAAATCGTCGTCCGCTTAAATAGATGACATTTGAACCAAGTTTCTACTTAGTAGTCTGCGGTTGTTTTCTATACATACGTACATAGAAACTGGTTCATAAGAAAATAACTTTTTAACAATATTGACACTACAATATGATTCACAGAAATGCAAGCAAATCAGTCTGCACGTACATATATATGTAGTATGTGTGTACATATACTTTGAGTATTTGTTGTTGTAAGCAATTTCACATTAAAATTGTTCATAAAATATGAAAAAAAAGTTTGGGGAACGTTCTGCTAGAGAACAAAAGTTTTGAGAATTTAACGCTAAGAATTAGAGGAGCTTCTGCGTGTTGGGATGAAAAATCGTTTCACTGAGTAGCATGATTGTAAATTCTAAGCCAGAACAAAAAAGCTGGCTCATTTCAACTTTCAAATCGTTCATCTACAATTTTTGCATTTTCTATGCAAGAAAAGTTCGTGTCTTAAGTCTTTCGTTTACATTTTGATTCATTTTTTAACATTCAATCATTTCAAACTAATGCAGCGCGAATAGTCAGAGATGAAAGTTCCTGAGACTTTAGTTGCCCTATTTTTCTTTGAGAGAAAGTTTCTCAGACTTTGGTTCCC